AAGAAAGACTGCTTGTTTTATGTAAAAATGTAGTGTTTGGGTACAACTGGTACATTTCTCCCCATAACTTAAAAGGAAATGCAGTGGAAGTTTTTAAACTAGAGCTGCAAAATAGAACCAAATCATATTGTTGCAAATATGCTAATATCTAAAGCTTTATAGACTGTGAAACCACAAAGAAACTACAAAAGTAGAAAAGTCAAATCAGTATTTAAATAGGACAGTGATAAAATTGTCAGTTTGCAAGGCATATAAAGGTACAGTAGTTTATATCTTCCTCAAGCTATGACACATTTTAGGCTGGTGGCTGTCTTGTATAGGCCTAGGCATTGTCATGTCAGATCAGGAGTAGACTTAGTGGGTTATGTAGGCTCTGTAGTCAATGTAGGACCTTGATGGGTTATGTCTGTAGAAATGTGTCAGGTAATTGGAGCTTCTGCACTACTTAAGGAAGGTTGGTGGGACACCCTGCATTAAGAATCTTCATGAAGAATAATTTGTCAGAAATATCTGGGCAGTCCTGAGGTCACTATACAAAGACACCCGTATACTGTGTTAAGTTTGCCTTCTGCTCTGTGTGACATGAGTCAAAAGCTGTGTTCATGAGATGTGAGTATTTCGATTTAATTTGAAACCTTAAAAGAGGTTGTATGTCTTCAATAGATAACACAATACAACACTGCCTCTGAGGTCACACACCAGTTTGGGAAGGATGCTGTAGGGTAACAGTTTACTAGATTTGCAGGAGAGGACTTGAGTGGGGAGAGTTTGTCTTTTACAGCACAACTGTAGGGACACATCTATATTGCCGCTTAAGATAGAAAACTTCCATGAAATGTTGTATATAGAAAGTGCCAGAACTTTCAAGAGTCCTTTGGTATAATCCATTTTTAGATAATCCCAAAATATGTCTCTGAAATTTGTTAACTTGGCTTCTATACAAGATATTTTTGTAATGCATTAGTGGTCTTTACATACAATGATCCTACATTTTTATGACTATTATGTTCAGTTCTAACTGCATCAAACATAATTATTAATCTTTATCTTTACTGATTTCCTAGCAGTGACATGAATGCATAAATAATTACTTCTTAAGAACTTCCTAAGTCCATGAATTTTACTTTGAGACGTATGGAAAAAGCAAGAGTCTTCCATCCAAAATATAGAAGAACTTAAAACATCTGGAATACATAATTTTAGTATGCAGTCTCAAATATTATGTACTAAATCAGGCACAGCTTTCAACATTTAAAACAAACCAGTATTTTCCACAGAGCTCTAAAAATGTATTGTTGGTTGGCTTTTCACCAGAGGCAAAGATGAGGCTATGACTTTTAAAGGTTGACCATTGCATTCCTTTACCCCACATCAATCATTTTCTTTCTTCACAGAGGTTGGTGATACCAGCCCTTGGCTACAGAGTCAGACATCCCAGAATGAACTCAGATTTCTTAAAGTGAAAACAGGGAGTCCTGTGACACTGGGGGATATAGATATGGAAAGTATTTGGGAGAAAAATTTAGGTATTAAACTCGGAAAACTATGATAGCATGTTTTTTTCTCTACCCTTGAAAAATAACTTGGAGATAGAATATTTAACTTACATACTCTATTAAAACTAATTGATTTATAGTAGTGAATTTAGAAAATTAAGTGACTGTTTTTCTTAAAGGTAGTGAAGGACAGACATTAGGTAATTTACTCCTGATCACATTGGTAGTCATTATGTAGATACAGCTGTTATCTCTTTATTAATATCAAATCATTGGTTTGGAGAATAATGTTAATCCTCTTTCTCAGAAGTCTTTTGTTTCCAGTTCATAGTTTTTCATAAAATGTAGATAGTATCTTTTACATGGGAGCTGACAACAGCCTCCAGCAGTCTTGTATTCTGTGACATTACAGCTCCTGAGTGAAATTTGAAGTGTTTATAGAAGAACTGCAGGGAATATTTTGATTTAACTTAATATAACTGAGTGGATTAGTACCTTAAAATATTTTCTTCTCTTTTCCAATTTCTATCTTCTCAGTTATAATTCATTCAAATATAGAAAGTAAAGGATATAATATCATAGGTGATTGTTACATACCAAACATCTCCCTAAATTATTTTGTAAATATTGTGTAATGCATCAATATATTTCACAGAAGACATCAACTTATTATTCCACATTTGTTTATGTTTTAACTAAATGATTATTATAGAATAACAATTACTCCAGCAACCAGATATGTGGAGACAAAGAACATCATATTTTCCTTTATGAGTTTCTTTTCAACTTAGAAACAGAGACACAAAGCAGATAGAGATAAAAATATTATCAATGTTTGGATTCTATAACACTAGGCACTGTGGTAGTTCTCTCATTAAATGTCATATCTGGTGCAATTTTAAGTACCAGAAAAATTGCTGTAACTAAGGAGACAACTGTCTTTCTGTGATACTGTTAGCATTCTCATGCAGATTCAAAAATCATGAAGGATTAATTCATCTGGGAGCAACAAAGTCTCAGAGAGAGATAGGAACATTTCTTTTTGGGACTGATTGAAAGATAGTAACAAGCTCTAATTGATTAACAGGGAGATGGCTGCTAAGGCTCCTTGAAGCATAATTTAGACATTGAAAAGACTGGGTGAACATTACAAGGGAGCTGCTTTGCTTCTCAGTCTCTGACTTCCAACTCTGGAAGTAATGCCTGCTGTGTGTAAGGCAGGTTGCCACTCTTGTTTTTTTTTCCCTGAAACTAAGCAGTTCAGGAATCAGTCAGTTCCCTGCATCTGAAGTACCATAAAAGATAAATTCATTTAAAGCTCAATAAAAGGGAATGGTACAGTTTGTCTCAGTTGATTCAGTAGTAATGCCTTCAACTCTGCAGTGGATAGTAGATCAGAACAGAGTTTTCTTTCTTAAGTGGAAGACTCTCAAAGATGTCGAACTTGTTTTTTCTTCGCTGACTCAATTTCACTGAATTCCAATTGCCTTATCAATCTCCATTTTTTCTTTTTGCAAAGATAGTTTGAGTATTTTAGGCATTTGATTTGGTAAATCATTACAATTTAAGAAAACACATACCATCCTAAAATTTCACTAAATTATTTGGGACTTGATTTTCAAAATGAATAAAATTCTATCTTCATGATCTGCTGTGAAATCAAATCCAAGAATTAATCAATGTAGAATGCATGGTGCAACAGAAAGTGTCTAAACATGGTGACTCCTGCAGTTGAATGTACCACAACATTATTTGTGAGCAAGGTACTAAAAATTATCTTCAGCATTCATATTTCTTCTATACAAGCTTTAACAACATCTGTAAATATGTAATACTTAAAAGGTTTTATGTTGGGCCTTGGTGATGCATGCCTTTAATCCCAGAACTCAGGAGGCAGAGGCAGGCAGATCTCTGTGAGTTCAAGGCCAGACTGGTCTACATAGAGAGAGTTTCAGGACAACCTCCAAAGCAATACAGTAAAAAACCTTGTCTCAAAAACACACAAAATAAGTTTTTACATTTAGTGCAGATACTTCTTTTAAGCCAGTCTGTGAATGTTTCAAAATTTAGGCCAGTGTGAGGGCTCAGCAGGGTAAGGCATTTTTTTTTCCAAGTCAAATGACCTGTGTTGCCATCCTCAGGGGTCACAGGTAAAAGGAGAGAACTTATTTCTACTATTTGTTCTCTGTTCCCTCCCCCACATTAAATGGGACAAAAATGTATTATGAGATCATTTTATATGGGCTTATAGTTTGATTATATTCACTCCCATTTCCTTTTCACTTTCACCACTCTAAGGCAAAAAGGTATGAAAACAGTTTATTGCCCACGAAGTGGAAAATAAGCAAAAAGTCTGTTTTCTGAGAAGCAAACAAAGTAAATATAGAAACACATGTGATGATTTCTCGTAAATTATACAGTGAAAATATGTTTCAAACATATTATAGAAAACTTCTATTGAAGAAAATAGAGACTCAAGGCGTATGAATGCAACATAGTAACATAACTTATATCCCATCATAAAAAAAGATAGTCTTTTCATTATTTCTTTTATTTATTTATTTTTGTTTATCTCTTTTGCTGATGTCTGATGTGGCCTTGGTTGAATCATATTCTCTTTGTAACTAAGAATTATCTTGAGTTCAATATCCTTCTGCTTCCACCTCCCAAATGATGGCAAAGCAGGCATACCCCACCATGACTGTATCCTTTACATTTTTTTCTTCAAATGCTGGTATACTGTGGTGACTGGGGACTGTTGAGCCAGCAAGATCAAGGTTCCATTTCAATTCTGTTGCTTACTTAATGATTTGTAACCTTGTTTTGTGAGTCTTAATTAATCTCATTTTCTGTAAAATAAAGTTTGGTAATATTTTTTAAATTAATTTTTAAGCTAAACACAAGTTTATTTTACATACCAATCCAAGTTCTCTTTCCCTCCCATCCTCCTATTCTCCCAGCAACCCCTCTTCCTATCCCCACCACTCTTTAGAGAGGGTGTGGCCTCACATGACTGATCATCAAAGTCTGTCACATCATTTGGAGCAGTACCTAGGTCCTCCCTCATGTATCTAGGCTGAGATAGTATCCCTCCATAGTATCCATTCGTGCACTAGGGATAAAGTCTGGTAAATTTTAAATGATGTAATAATAGCATTTTGTAATTATTAAGTAATATAATTGTTTATGAAGCTTAATATAGTATTCATAATATAATCCAATGTGAGTGCCTATCTTCTGTAATGAGTGTGTAGCTACTCAGTTAATAGAATATATATGTATATACAAGTTTGGACAGTATGTTTAGTAGAAAAAATATGGTGTCAGAGTTGAATTGAAACATATAAACCTTTGTTTGGGTAGACAACAGAAAGAACTTTTGATGACAGGCAACTGTTTTATCAGGGATCTATCTGATTTATAAACTAGAGTTAAATTGGTAATGCATTTGCTTGGATCCTTTGATAAAATCTCTCCTAAAACAGATTCATTTATCTTCACCAGGTGGTGAACCCAGTGTCCCTTACCTGCTTGCAATGGCTTCACGTTTGAGGGAGAGTGCTGAACTCTTCCAGTCAGATGAGATGCGGCCTGCTAATGACCCAAAGGAGAGAGCTGCCAGTCATGTCCGCATGCTGAATGACATCCTTCAAGACCTGGAGAAGAACTTCCTGGTTGAGCAGGTGCCACCTGGATTTTATAGGTAGGAAATACGCCTCCACCTTTATGTCTCTCACTCTAAATATTAACTTCACTTCCTGAGTATATTAAAGCCATATTTAAAAGACACTGTCCTTTAAGATATTTGAGAAGAGTGCACACAAGGGAGAGTCAATAAAGATGACTTCAATGAAAAAGTGGGGAGAGAATAGAAGAAATATTGGAGATAAAAGAATAGGTGATAGGTTTGGTGCAAACAAATTACAAGCATATGTAAATAATACATTTTAAAAACAAAACAATAAAACAGTTATAGACAGTTATGAAGATAAGAATCATCATTCAAAGCAAAGTTCAAATGAATCAATATGGAATGAAGGACACAGGACAAAATATCTTATATTGCTATCATTAATGGAAAAGCAAGGGCAGGCAAAGCTTCCATAGCAAGAAATATGCTTCCTTGAGTGTCAAGAGACAGACCAAGCAGCTTTTGTTTTCTAAGAAAAACATGTCTAGAGTATTGGGCTTAATTGTACTGCCTACAATTTATAACAGTATTGAATACATTTAATATTCTAGTACCACACAACTTGAGTGAATCTTGTAACAACCGAGAGAGTAGGGCCAGTTTGGTTGAGACATAGGTGTGCTCCTGAGAACATGTAGACAATGGTTTTGTAGACACAGCAATGTAAATTGGGCTCAGTGATGAAAACAAGTGGACTATGGTTTTGCTTATGACGCAATCAAAGTAGAAAGTAAACAAATGGTAGATGGAAGATAAGCAAGTCTGAATATTTTAAATACTGTATATTATTGTTTCATTCTACTGAGGATAAAATATATACTTTCTGTATAGTACATATTACATATGTATTATATAATGTATGTGGAAAAGATAATATGTACATCTATATGTGTATACATCTTACATATGAATGTCATATATCTTTTACATTTAGAAATGATACTTAAGTGACCTACTGAGTTACTTGTTCCTGTATTCCATTTGCCTACTGTCTTGTTTCATGATTAGAATTGCTAGACATACCATGTATAACCAGCAGTTAAAACAAGGCATCAATAACTGATACAAAGGTACAGAAAACTTATTTACATGTGAGAAAGAGTTTCAAAAATTTTTGAACCCAATGATTATGACACCCTTTACAGCAGAAGACTTACATCACTGTACATATTAAAATATATGGGTTTTGAGTCTCAAGCCTGTGACTTTTAAGTGGGCATGAGATTTGAATGGTGTTTTGTAGCAAACTTCATGACTTGAAAATATCCTCATTCACTCATATCTTAATTTCTTCATCTGTTAAATGAAATAGCAGATGGGAACAGAGTTAACATTGTGAGATTGAAACTGAAATTCACATATACATTAAATTGTCATGTACTTTTTCTAACCTTATAACTCTAGATTAGGAGACATTAAAAAATATGTATACTATTTATATTTTTCATAATACTTGAAGGCATTATACATGCTCCCTATATTTTCTATGCCCCTGAAACTTAGCAGGCACTTCAAGTAAAAATCAGTGTCTATCCCTGGAATACACACAGTCATCGTGTGCCCATAACACAAAGAGGGATGCTCTCTCAGCCTGGACTCTTAGGGGAGTGCCTGGACCCTACCCAGAGTGAAATGACAGACTCTAGATATCCCTTATGTGGAAGGATTTGGCAATAGGGTGGGAGGGTGGGGGGGAAGGGGAGTGCGGGAGGAGGGGAGGGAGAGGGAACTGGGATTGACATGTAAAACAAGCTATTTAAAATTAAAATAAAATGATAAAAGAAAAAAGAAAGAACAAGATGATTAGGTAAAATATAAAGATGGTAAACATAATTAACTAAAGAAAATTCAACCATATTATTGACAAAATTATTTAAAATGTCTTTATCAGAATAGGTAAATCATGTTTGATGACCCATTTACTAAGATCTGTTTGGTGGCACACAGGTTTCATCCCAGCACTCAGGAAGCAGAGGCAGGCAGATCTCTGTGAGTTCATAACCAGCCTGGTCTACTGAGCAAGTTCCAGGACAGGCTCCAAAACAATATAGAGAAACCCTGTCTCGAAAAACCAAAAAAAAAAAAAAAAAAAAAAAAGAAAGAAAGAAAAAAAGGAAAGAAAGGAAGAAAGAAAAAGGCCTGTTTCTTCAGGAAGAATGCATTCCCTTCTTAACATTCTTGCAAAGTGTAGCTGACTTATACATATGATCTGCTTTTTCTTAACTTTTCAACAGTATTCATAGACTCAATTTATTTTGTTCTCTAGTTTGAGAAGAAAAGCAAACATTTGTCTTTTACTAAGACCAATAAAAGTGACTTTCTACTCATAGTAATTATTATAATTATCAGGGCATACCCTGCTTTCAAGTAATATAAGTGCAAATGTCATTACAATATTCTAGTATGTATAATAGACTTTAGAACTCAATGGCTAAGATTCAATATTTCAGTATTTACCAAAATTTGACTATAGTTTTTAATCAAATACATAGTTACCATGGTTGTTCTTAGGTTAAATGCTGAATACATGACAAAGTCTATTTATAACTTTGTAAGAAACTATCCTCCAAAGTGACTATACCATCTTGCAGTTTCAACAGTGAATAGCATGGTACTTCCGTCATTTCACACCTCACCTACATTTGGTGTTGGGGGCCTGGGAATAAGCCTTTCTGAAGGGTGCGAATTGGTTCTAATATTTGAATTTACAATTCTGTGATGGCATGTGTTGCAGACAGTCCTTTGCTATGGTAACTTCTCACTCGTTCTCTAAAATGAGATTTTTGCACAGCTTATACCCAATTTCACAGCTAGTTGTTTCACTTCTAGTTAGAGATTGTATAAATCTCAGAAGAAACTTTGAATGTTGGACTTTAAAACATTGTTGAGACTATAATAGACCTGGTTCTTTTGAAGGTGAACTAAATGCATTTTGCATTATGGCATTGTCTTAAGTTTATGGGAGCCAGGCAGTTTTGGTGCCCAAGCCATAAGCAAGTCCAAGGTATCAGGAAAAGAAAAACAAGACATTTTGTACTAAGAGAATGCATGTGCTGTCTTTATTGCCAGGAGACAGACAGAGAGAGAGAGAGAGAGAGAGAGAGAGAGAGAGAGAGAGAGAGAGAGAGTCCTTATTGCAAGTGCTAAGAGGTCTCTCTCTTTTAGAGAGGGAGGAGCTTTATATACAGATTTACAGCACAGTGGAAAAACCCCAGGTGGATGAGAACATGTTTTCTTCCTGCTGGATGTTGATGTCAAAGGGTCAAGGCCAGGGCAGGAAGCCAGGACTAGAAAACAAGATGCACTTAGACTGGAAATCAGGATGGACTTTTTGACTGACCAGTGACTCACAGAGACCCTGTGGGGGCTGGGGCCCAACAGGGAGTAGAATGTGGTAGTTCAAATGTAATTGACCCCCATAAGCTCACAGGGAATGGTGCTATTGGGAGGTATGGCTTTGTACAGTACATATTTCCTTGTTGGAAGAAGTATGGCACTGCAAATGTGGGCTTTGAGGTTTTATATATGATCAAGTACCTATGCCCAGTATCTCAGACCTATTCCTGTTGCCTATGGGATCAAGACATAGTGCCTTCTCCACTCTCAGCTACTTCTCCAGCACCATGTCTGCCTGCCTGCCAACCATGTCCACCATGATTATAATGGACTAAACTGTGAGGCACACAATTAAATGTTTTTCCTTTATAAGACTTGCCATGATCGTAGTGTCTCTTCACAGTAATAGAAACACTAACTAAGACAACAGGTATGCAAAATATATAAGAATTCATAAAACCTAGCAATGCAATCCCCTTCAAAATCAAAAAGCAGATCATGTATTTCCAAAATATAATATTACAGGATATACATTACCATTCCAAAATATAGGGAAGAGAACATAGTGAGAAAATAATAGACCAAAGCAAATAAAAAACCAGCTGGGAAAACTGCAAACTCTGCATTTCCTTGTCTGATGTCAAAGTTTTCCAGATCTCCAACTGCTTTGAACTTTGTTGACTGCAACACAATTCTTTATCTTGGGCTGGTTCCACTTCCTGTTATCAGCTCTCCTTGGCAGGTATTGAATGGCTCTAGCATTTCAAATGTCTTGGGATCTCCAAGATAATCCAAGCTTCACCTTGAAGACTTCACACAATGGGCTCTCTAGGCCTCCATTCAAAGGCACCCCTGACACATGGTTGGCCTTTGTGACTTTCTTTAGCTCCCCCTTGACTCTAAAGCCAAAAACATTTGGTCAAAGCTGCCAAATTCTGTTGCTTACTGGGGCTGGATTATGGCCGCCTTGTCCAATTGCACTTTCACTAACTTTCTGAATTCCATGGTTTTCTTCAGTGCCTAAGCTTGGCTATCCTGGAACATGCTCTGTAGAACCAGATTGACAACAGACTTCTCAGTGCTAGGATTAAATACTTGCACCATGAAATCTGGCTTTAAGTTATACTTTAATTTCTTTTCACAAGTTGTAAACTTATCTGGGTGGGATCTTGCCTGGATTTCACTACTTTCTTTGTTTCATTTCTTAATCTGTTTACTTCTTTGAACACAGAGATTAGTTCCTTTCCACTTTCTGGTCCTCCTTTTCTCCTCAAATTGTACATGTTGTATTTTTCCTTCTTCACCTTGTTCCATTTCACTATAAACCCTCTTTAGAGTTAATACTAACAACTACACACCAGAGTCTATACTAAGATGTTTTGAGATTTCTTTTGACAATGGAGTTAATACACAGCTCTTCACTTTAGCCCCAGGTATATTTTTTCATACAAAAGCAAAAATTTGTCGCATTCTTCACCAAAGTATCACAAAACTAGTCTGAGTTTAGAAAGGGGCTACATCTTGATTCTCCAGGCAACAGGAAGTGGTCTGAAATATCGGGCATGGCTTGAACACCCATAAGACCTCAAAGCCTGCCTTCATAGTGATAGTTCCTTCAATAATTCCATACCTGATCCAGCAAAGCTACACCTACTAATAGTATCATTCTCTCTGAG